AAAAATATATATTTAATGCATTTTTAATTTATGTTTTAAGAATAAAATTTAAATAAACTCTTAAAATAAAAACCAAAAAAAGGCATGGGATTTCACCCTCCAAATTTTAGAAATTCTCCTACCTTTTCCACATTCAAAACAGTTTCCCTTCCATAATATTTTTCCACTAACACCCTTTTCCACAAGCCCTCGTTATTCTCCCCGAGTCTAGTCCACAACTTACCTAACAGAGCTCCATTTCTCCCTCTAAGATTTGCCACTGGCCACTATCCCACCCATTTCCCTGCTCAAACAAATCCACTCCCACTTTACCCCACATTTTTTCCTACCCTCCTCCCCATTAAGACCCCAAAGGAAACTTCTTTCAATATTTTCAAGCTCTGTAATCACACTCAATGACACTTTAAATAAAGACATATAATACAAAGAAAGAGAGGAAAGTATATCATATTGAGGAGAATCAGACCGCCAAAGGACACAGATTTTGCTTTTTAGCCACCTAACTTTCTCTGGTTTCTCAATGGTTGACCTCCACATTTTAATCCGACTCAGTTTATCCCTAACAGGCAGACCCAAATAAGAGAATGGGATAGTCCCTTCCTTAACATTTTAAAAAATCTTCAGCTCTCGTAATCCACCCTTCGTCAGTATTGATCATCGGCGGAGCTGGGGTGGGCCCGAGGGGGCCCAGACCCCCCTAACCTTTTGAAAACTTAGAAGTTTGATCCCTAAGGTTTGTTTTATTTATTTATCTTAAATAATTTTATTATTATCTTACTTATTTTTTATTATTGAATATTCCTTTTAAGTAAGAGGAATGCTAAGGGCAATCGCCCTTCGTCACTCGCTCTAGCACCCTCCACGTTATGCTGCCATGTAGTCATCGAATTTGATATCTAAACTAGGAACCGACTATACTCGGTTCCTTATTTTATTTCTCCTTTTCATTTCCTCATTTCTCTCTCCTGCCTTCTCTCTCTTTCCAAGTCTTTCTTCTCCAGTTTTCCATCCATCTTCAACACAGTCAAAATCAAAATTTTTTACGAGGTGGCAATCAAAGACTCAAATGTAGGAATCCACCAGATGAAATCCTCACTCTTCAGATTTATTTCATTTTGTTGCTATGTTTTGATGTTCAAAAAGAAAAGGTACCAAAATCAAATATCCTCCTCCGTTCTCTCCATCGGTTCCTTCTTTCAGCTTTTCTTCTACGGCGCCCCACCCAACCTAAACAACTTTCCAACTTCTCTTCTCCGAAGGCCAAAAAAAACAAAAATCTATTCTAACGTCTTCTCCCGAAGGCAAAACTACTGTTCTTAGCAGTTTACTGTGATTGTGGATGGTTATGGCATTGGGTGGGGTTTTGGAGTCTTCCCAATTTATTTTGTGTTTTACAATTTTTTTTTTAAAAGGAAAAAACAAAAAGAATGAAGATAAATAAGGAAGCTGACCCAAATGGGTAAGGAAATGTCTCTGTGTATCTCAATCCGCCATGGCTGTCCTCCTCAAGTGCTTGGTGGTATAATATTTAATTAATACACAATTAATTAAGTGGTAAAAAATTACCTTTATATGTTCTTTCTCTAATTTTTTGAATTTCATGATTTTTTCAAAAAATTGAGATTTTAAAAATTTAGAAATCTTCTTTAACTTAAATAGCGTATTCAATTTATTTGTAATTAGTGGAACAGGAAATTATGAAGAGGAAGATCTAAATTTCTAGAAGAGAGATGTATGAGGTGAAGGAAGCCCAGTCATGGGGGACAAGCGAGGTGAGAGAAAATGACTTGTCTTTTGTTTTTATTATTAATTTTTTAATTTTACCTCGGCTCTCAAATTTTTATTTCTAAATTTAAACACATAACTTATTAGAGTCGGTATCCAGTTTACCCCTTAAAAACAGATGTGAGGTGGCAAAATGAGAAAGAGAGTGTCAAAAGCGAATGTCGAAAAGCGACTGACGTTAGCATTCCTCTTTAAGTAATAATAAGGCTCTGTTTGGTGTACCGATTTTGGGGTAGCGATTAGCAGTTTTATCTAAACTGCTAAATACAGGTGTTTGATAAATTTATATATTTTGAAACCGCTACAACTAAAGTATTTGATAAAATTTTTATTTAGTAGTTTGAGATCAGCGGATAGCGATTAGGATCTAAATCGCTAGCGGATTGAAAAAACTAATTTATGTAACTTTTTGTACCAAACCACTAGTAAATTAAAATTTTTTAATTTTATTGACAAATTTATCCATTTTAATTTTTTAATTTGTGGTCACATTTTTTAATTAATAATTATCTAATAAATTTCAGTTTTGTTTTTTT